GCTCGGGGAAAAGGTTGAAATGGGAAAGGAACTGGAGGAGTAGAGGAGACAGAGGGAACATAATTCCACCTTCTATGATTGCTTTGGTGAAAAAGGGCATCTTATCCTTGGCCCTGAGATTACGGTTATGCAAAACTGATTCGTAATCTTCTATACCTACGTTTCGGAAAATGTGATACTGGGCCCTAAACCTATCGATCTGCTGGTCTCACTTCACTTTGTACTTTCCTGACCTCGAGGAACTAGCCTGGGGGTCCTCGGTGACAGGGCAGCATCGGGGCATCTCCAATTAAAATGAAAAGGAAAGGGAAAGGAAAGAAAGTTTTTCTACAAAGAATCCCGAGTGGTTTCCTGAGGGTTGGTCAAAACGACGACAACCAGAAACACTTCCAGTTCTCAGGGAATACAAAGCAAAACCCAGAAAAAGGATGAAAAGAAGGATGCAAGGACTCACCAGAATGCAAACGAAGATTTTCGAGGACCTTGGAGTGGTTCCTTTTTTAGGAAGGTTCGGAAGCAAGAGGAGGTTTGCTGATCCAAACTCTGGTGACGACTGGTTGGTAAACGATGTGACTAAGGGTGTCTCCGATGGTAAACGATGTGACTAAGGGTGTCTCCGACGAAGTCTCCGGCGAAAGCTCTATGAAAGTTCTAAATGGTAAAAGTGTGGGAAAAAATGAGAAGACCCGTTTATATAGTGTCTGTCCCTATCATTGGGCACGAAGCACGAAGGGGCACATTTAATGTGCACGACCTCCTAAGCAACGGAAAATGACTGGAAGTAATGATGGGGTGGTTAAGGCAGTTGCAGAACCTTTCGTCTTCTTACGACGCGTGTCCTCGGTGTCAGAAGATCGAAGGCTGGGGGGCAGTTGATGGGACATTTTCAGATACTCCAAGATGACGACACGTGTCCTCGGAGTCAATGGATACTCACCGATCAGATTACGACACGTGCACATCGGTCCATAATCCCCCTTCCCCCGAGGATACTATTCATAGGGATCAAGGATCTCTAATATCCCATCGACCGACACGTATCCCTCGGTCAATTTTGGGTACATTGGCCCCTAGCGACGCTGGACCCTCAGAACCGAGGTATATCCGTTTACGAAGCATATCTGCTCCTGTAGGGCTATTGATGAACAAATCACTAGCCTAGGTTAGACTAGACTAGCCATCATGACCTTGTCTTACTTAAATGGTGTCAGGAGGCGCAAGAAAACAGAAGGCTCAACCAAGGGGGAATAGGCACGTGGCGTATTGTGTCAGATCAGAGACAAAAAGATCAGAATGCCCTTGCTGACACACAATTTGGGAAAACAAGTATTTAATGCACCATTTCCTTGATAAAACAACATTTAATGCATGAGAGCTTATTACCTCCCAAAGTTTGGGCATTTAATACACCCCCGCCGAAAGAAAGTCATTATACGTTCGGCAGACCGAGGAGAAAGAATTAGTTGCTCGGGATCCCCGAGCAGTTAAGAATAAAAATATTACTCATAGAAATTGGTGTGCACACTGCCCACCTCCAATGATTTCCTACTAGTTACGCTGTCAGCAATGATGAATTTTTAAGGTATAAATAGTCCTCACAAACACAGAAAAGAGGTACGCAACAAATCCTTTCTCAACCATCATACAATGTTTTCTTTTTCCCCTCTCTCAAAGAACTGACTTGATCATTGGAGGGGATACGCTAAAAAACACTCTGGCGCCCTTTTAACCTGTTTTTCTCTGTTACAGGAGCCTCCCTTAGCCTCCCAAGATCAGTCAAGTGACTCATAAAAACGATTCATTATCCCTCCTTAGGCCACTTTCGGCCTTTACAATTGGTCTCAAGTAGTGAGATTAACCACTCGATCGACGGACACGTGTTCATCATGGAAGAGATCTATTCTTGTGTTTATATTGTGCAAGATCGTGCACACACAAAAAGTACTGTGAGCGCCACATGCACTGAAGTCATCCCCGTTCAAGAAAGCATGTGGAAGTTCCTTCTCCTCTCACCAACGCCAACAACACGAAGAAGACCTGCCTTCACCATAGTCCTCTGCACACAACGCCTGACCCGACACTTCAAAACAAAGGTTGTTCATCTCAGCTTCTTGGATCTACCATTCAACCAAATGAGGCTTGTTTGTTTGTTGATACTAAAGCTGATCCGAATATCCCTGCAACCTCTTGCAATGAACCCAAAAGGTTGGTTGTTGGTTAGTTTTGTGTGTATGATAATGGGTACTTTTGGTAGATTAGATTAATGATTTGTTTTTGCATATTGAAGGGGCTTGGAAGGTGAAATAGTTACAATGAATCCATCTGCTCAGCAATGGCAGGATTTTATGCAGACAAATCTTGAATTGACTACTGGAGGCTCTGTTGTGTATAACACTAATGCCTCTGCTTTCCAGCAATATTATGGAGTAGAGCCTAAAAATCTGATTTGCTATACATATTTTAGTGGCGACCAACAAAGTGAAGAATGCAACTTTTTTATCAACCCTCACTTGGTGTCCATAGACAAGCAGCCCCACATAGAGGCTCCAAGGGGTTTTATTGATGCTTGGTCAAATGACAACCCCAACACGCAGGGCAACAGCAGCAACATCAACGAGTCCTCTGTTTCATTGCATGGAAACCTCTCACCTTCTTCACTCACTCTATCCATGGCCATGGCGGCTGGTAATGCTCTTGATGAGGAAATGGGTCTGATCAAAATGGGCTTAGATGTGGAAAATTCAGATAAACATAAGACTCAAGTTTCAAGCTGGCAGAGCCTTGGTTCATGGAAGGTTTCAACAGCAGGCGGGCCACTAGCAGAGGCCTTACGACCAAGCGCTCTCTCAGCAGGCTCGAATCCAGCATCCCCTCAAGTTGGCAATGTCGATTTAATTAGTCCTCCGGCTACTGCTGTCTCGTCTCCATCTGGGCTTCTCCACAGAACAGTGTTATCAGTCTCTGATAACAGTGGTAGCAACAGCCCAAATCTTGCTGCCACAACTGCAACTCCAGATTTTGTTGCCTTCAGGTGGCTGAACTAAAGCAATATGACATCTTTCTCTTGTTGGATTTTGGTTCTTATTTTTGCAACATTTGATATGTTGTTGCTTTATTTTTTGTTTTACTTTGTTGATGCTTCCAAACTAAGTTTTCCAACATTTTTTTGGCATATGTGAAGTGGAATGCTTCATTCTTTGGTCTGCTGAATAGGTTCATGTGTTTGAAGGATTCATATAATTTGATTTGCTCACTTATGCATGCAAAGTATTATAAAATTAATGAAGAATTATGTGATCCAAAACCTTAGTTGGATGAAGCATCCACCTTTTGAGACTACTCAACTTTTTCAGATATTCCCAGGAATCGCCCGAAATGAAATGTGGTGTGTTGAACATGGATTAAACTAAGGAGCTAAGATAATCCTAAAATGACAGATGTTAAACATACAAAACGAGGTCTTTTGTATGTAATTGTTTCTGTGAATCTTGGCCATCTTCCTGACTTGAGTAGGGTCATGCCCCTCTTTTTGTCGGAAAAAATCTATTAGGACTTGGATTAATAATTTCAAATTGAAGAGTAACCTCCTCTGTATCTTCTCCCCAAAAAACAAAAGACAAACAAGTAGGTCCACTATCTTCTCTCTTTTCCTGACTTTTATACCCACACTCCATAGTAGCAGCTCTGGAGATTCTTTCACTGCTACACCTACCATGCCTGACTCTAGTGACACCTTATTGAATTCAGTTTGGTCGTGTTGAATGTGGTACACCCTCCAAACTCTCTCTCTCTCTCTCAAACACACACACACACACACACACCCCTACACCCACCCACACACAGTTTGACATCAACTTGTTATATACCTAAATAGATGACGAATTTGGTTATTTATGATTCTTTTTAGTGTTTAGAAGATATGCACCTTAATATGACAATTTCAGCCTAAGTTCTGTTGTGACTCAAGCTTGTTTGAATATGGGAGTTATTTTGGGCTTTGACTTATTAGAAGCTTTGCAAATTCTGGCAGAATAGTAGCTTCTGCTAAAATATTTAGGTATTCAAATTCTTAAAGATGTTCATAAAAGGGCTATTTTTATACTTGCAGCTTTCACAAGCCTAGGCTCTTATACATGTTTGTTTGAAATATAAGTCATTCCCTAGCCTCAACCTATGCTGCCTAGCCAAACATTTTACCCATCAAAGCCTGATGTCTCTATGTTGGCCAGAAAGTGAAGATGTCCTGTTCATCTTATGTTTTAGTTAGGCCGACTGTTATTTGTTTGCCAAAATGCTTCAGTGAACAGTCATTTTTCTATCTTAGTTTAGGCCTAGTTTGGTTGTTTGAAAAACAGGGGAAAACGAAAAGTTGATGCTTGTGTAATTTCGTCTCTTGAGATCTTTTAAGGAACTAGTTAAAAATCAAAAACAAAAAAACAAAAGATCTCACAAGCTGTTTAAAATTAGTAGTTTCAACTTCTTCTTTTTTTGGGCTTGGTTTCAGAATGTGTATATAATTTGCCATTGCTTCTTTCAGTGGTCCCTGTGTCTCCCAAATTCATCTTCATTCAGTGGCGCCTAGGTTTCCCCATTGCAGACTCTTGGATTATGAGGAACGGTATTGGTGCCATTGAGTTTTACATAAGAAAATGGAAGGCAAAAGAAATTGATGCCATCAATTCAAGACTTTCATGGTTATAAAATAAGATGACGAAAACAACCTAAGAAGAAAACAAAAAGAGAACAGGGTAAGGTTGTTCAATGAACTTTACTGATGGCAGAAATTTTTACGTCTCACTCTCATGGGTCATTCACTTCGCACTATAATGCTCATGCCTCTAGTTTTTAGCTTCATATTGCCGAAATGTAACAACCTTCACCATCATCCTGCCTTGTTCTCCATACATTCAATTGAATTTGCTCATCTCAACCGTTGCCTAAACTCACCAGTTAAAGGTAGAGATGTATCCGTGCAGCAAGAAGGCGTGTTAGATCATTGCTCAACAGTCGATGCCAATGTCATTGTATGAATCTTGAACAGGGAAAGACAGCCGTTTCTTCACTGAACCTGGTTTTTCTCTCTCTGGGGTCAAAGGCCTCTGCCTTGGTGCACTCTGTGAACGAACTCGAGCATTGGTCGATGCAGTAGCTGCCATGTAACTCGGCATTGGGACAGAACTACAATTCCCACTTACACTCATTCTATGGTAGGAATTGGAGCGAAGAGTTGGTGTCTGAGCTTTTGGATAGTTGTCGGCTTCTCTTGGGCAACGAGGGCTCGCTGAATGCACTGGGAGTAGTTTTCTTCTGGATTGAGATGGTGTGATGGGTGAGCGGATGGAGAGATTTTGATGTGTTCTGTTGAGTGGGGAAGAAACAGAGTATGAACAGGGTTTTTGTTGTTGGTAGTGCAAATATTGATTTTGTGATCTCTGCAAATTGAGTCCGGAGAAAGAGTTAGGCTTAGCAGTGTCAATTTCCACTGTTTTTATGGTTTCTCTTTGATCACAAGATGCTCTACCCCTCCTCTCCAACTGGTCAGACCAACTGCTGCTTTCATCAACCTCTTGGTTGCCTGGAATTTGGTTCTTCTCAGATCTCCACATCTACTTTTCAGAACCACACAGAAGATTGTTATTTGAGCTTATTGGGTCTTACAGATGAAGTATCCGAAACAGAAAACCAAGATGAAGACGGAATGAGAGAGATGAGAAAACCTGGTGAGAGAAGACATGAGCAAGCTGAGCAGCTTCCTTTCTTTTGTGTATCATGGCTTGGATCTCCTCTAAGGTGTGTTGATGATCATCCCAATCATATGCAATGCTACTTCCTTCTCTAGACTGTGGAAACCAATCAAAACACAGAATCAGCTGAAGCTTAAGAAAATAACTCAACCCAGATTTACTTACAATGGACTTTCTGTCTGCAAGATGAGATTCCCATAAACTGCTGGGATCACTGAACATGGAACCTATGCTTCCTTCATATGAAAGCCTCTTACGTTGATCACGGACTCTAGTTTGAACTCGTACAAGCGCTTGCATGCATTGAAGTGTCATCTTTGCTCGCTTTCGGACAATGTGGCCTCTTACCAAAGCTTGGAGCTTTACAAGCCCTTTGAGTGCCCGAAGAGCTCTCCTTGCCTGAAAAACCACAGTAATACTCCAATTAAACTCTGGCTGTGCACAATTTATCCTTTGAAATGGTAAAAACATGTATGCATGAGTGTGTTTGCATGAATACACGGTGTTTAGCTCCTCCTTTGTTCAGTAAACGTTATGTTTCCAAAACAACATTGTTTTAGAAAATCATTCTCTCTATATATACACACACACAATACCAGATATCCTCTGAAGGCTGTCTGAATAATGACAGCAGCGTGTTGTTGTCTCACTAAAATTGAAGGTCTGGTGGTGAGACGAATGATTTCCACGGCTGCCTGAGCTGTTGCCACTGCGGCCTCAGCAGCTGCTGTTGTTGCCCTAGCCACCGCAATGGCGCGTCTTTGGTCATAATCAGCAGCCTCGGACATAGGATTCCTTACCAAAGTTCCTAAATTAGTATTTGCTGAGGTGGTCATGTTCTGTACTAATTCATTATGCTGGATTGTTGTTTCATGAAGCGAATGCTTCCGGAAAATCCATCTTCTCTTTCCTCTCTTCTGCAAATGCCCAAATACAAATTTCATTCCACTGATCATTCATACTAGAATTCCTTTTTATATTAAAAATTATTACCTTTTCTTCTTCTTCTTCTTCTTCATGTTCTTCTGATCTCCTCCTGCTGCATCTCTTCTCAGTATCTTTGGTGGGAGACCTAAAAGCCTTTTTCACCACATTCAGCCAAGAGCTTCCTCCAATCTTCCCCATGAAGGGAGGTTGTAGGAAAACTTTAATTATAGAAGCATGATCAAACAAAGTAACTGCTATCCCCTATATATTATTGTAACAGAACTTTGCATTATGCAACGTTAATATTCTGCCTTCTTGTGGCATTGTAGCACTGTAAACATAGTTCTTTGGTGTGTCAGACTGTTGGAGACAACATGAAAGGGTGTGTGGTCTCGAGAACGCTGAAAGCTGTGGAAAGAGAACTATAGACGGAAGGCTTGGCTTTTGCTTTTTTTTTTTTTTTAATTATAAGTCTGAACAAACAAATGACAAACTCTCATGGCTTCACGTGTTATTAAGAACTACTCTTCGTCCTAGTATTCGCACATACTCACAAACACAGACAAAGAGATGACAGTAATGGTGATCTTTTCGGGATTGGAATCGGGAGAGACACAAGAGAACCGTTGGGTGAATGTTGCCTACTGGGGGAGAAGTAGGAGATGGAGAATCATTACTGAAAAACATGTGATCTACAAGTAACTAATTGTTTGTAGTACTAATCATTACTGGGTAAATCACATATTTTTGTTTTAAAATATTTTCTGAACCTTTAATTATTTAATTAACTTAATTGAGTGAGTTTTTGTTTTAACAGAAGGGATCTGTTGAAATATATCACATAAAATCTAAGGGCAGCTCATGTGATAATAGGGATGCGCCGGTTTGAATGACTTGTTTTTTACTGCATTGAATAAATAATTAGTCGAAATATATATAAAATTCAGACACGTAGTACAAGAGTATGAAGATAGAGTTGAAGTGGGGGTCTACAATGTGATATTAAAATGAGCAATGCTATCGGAACCTAATTTATTGACCTAATCATTATGACATTTGGATTAAATGTGGGTTATATTAAACATTAAAATTTGATGTTAATTCAATGATTTCAATAAAATCACATTATTAGATTAGTAAACTATGTTAAAGTTTTAAGTCCAAATAACATTAATCTACTAAAATAGGATGAGGAGAGATACATGTTAATTATGGATAGAAAACAGTACTCCCTCCGTTCCTAAATATCATTTAAGATTTTTGCACAAGGATTAAAGAAATTATTAAATAGCTTTAATATGAGTAAAAAATAATTGCACAAGACTAAACTATCCTTGTTCAATACGTATTGAGAATGAAAGGAATATGAAAGACACTTAGCATACATTTAATCTATTAAATACTTATTGGAAAACATAAATAAGGATAAATTTGGAAGAAAAAATATTAATTATGCTTTAGTTTCATTAAACGACAGATATTGTGGAACAAAAAAAATTATGTAAAACGATAGATATTTAGGAACGGAGAATGTAACTTTTTTGTAAATAATTTCGGGGGTTATAGAGTGGCCACAAAGATTAGAACATAATAGATAGAAAAAATTTAGATAATAGAAAAAATGATATTAAATTAATGAAAATATTTAATTCTCTTTAAAACTGAAAGATTTTTTTCAAATCATACGATAAAATATAGAATAATGTTATTGAAAGTTAAAAATTTGATCTAATTTATTAGTTTAATGATGTAATTTCATTCTAACTGTTAAATTAGGGATTTCAATATTTGATGAAATTTATNAAAACTGAAAGATTTTTTTCAAATCATACGATAAAATATAGAATAATGTTATTGAAACTTAAAAATTTGATCTAATTTATTAGTTTAATGATGTGATTTCATTCTAACTGTTAAATTAAGAATTTCAATATTTGATGAAATTTACAATTAATTTAATGATTATAATGAATTAAATTAACAAATGAAATCCTAATAATATTACTCAAATATAACGTTTACGGCATCTTATATACATTTGAATGGAAAAGGGTAAGTTAAAAAATAAGAAAGAAATAAAAAAGCCGAAAAAAAGAGGAAAAAGCCCAGTGCTTACGCGAAGAATCGAACTTTCCCGAATGAAAGAGAAAACGGGAGAGAGAGAGATAGAAATCCACTGTATATTGGTGGATGGTGACAAGATTTGCATGGTNTGCTTACGCGAAGAATCGAACTTTCCCGAATGAAAGAGAAAACGGGAGAGAGAGAGAGAGAGAAATCCACTGTATATTGGTGGATGGTGACAAGATTTGCATGGGTCTAGAGTCTTCGTTGTATCAAACATTCACGATGCCTCGTTACACTTCCACACTCTGCCTACATATATCTAACATCTATCCCCACCCATTCTCGCATCTTCTAAACTTCTTCNGTTACACTTCCACACTCTGCCTACATATATCTAACATCTATCCCCACCCATTCTCGCCTCTTCTAACCTTCTTAGGTGAAAGTTCACACTACACAGACCGCTTCCAATCTTGTTCATTCCTTTGGGTGGGTTTTCTCTTTCTGATCGCAAATGGCTACTAAAACTTTGNTTTTTTTTTTTTTTAATTATAAGTCTGAACAAACAAATGACAAACTCTCATGGCTTCACGTGTTATTAAGAACTACTCTTCGTCCTAGTATTCGCACATACTCACAAACACAGACAAAGAGATGACAGTAATGGTGATCTTTTCGGGATTGGAATCGGGAGAGACACAAGAGAACCGTTGGGTGAATGTTGCCTACTGGGGGAGAAGTAGGAGATGGAGAATCATTACTGAAAAACATGTGATCTACAAGTAACTAATTGTTTGTAGTACTAATCATTACTGGGTAAATCACATATTTTTGTTTTAAAATATTTTCTGAACCTTTAATTATTTAATTAACTTAATTGAGTGAGTTTTTGTTTTAACAGAAGGGATCTGTTGAAATATATCACATAAAATCTAAGGGCAGCTCATGTGATAATAGGGATGCGCCGGTTTGAATGACTTGTTTTTTACTGCATTGAATAAATAATTAGTCGAAATATATATAAAATTCAGACACGTAATACAAGAGTATGAAGATAGAGTTGAAGTGGGGGTCTACAATGTGATATTAAAATGAGCAATGCTATCGGAACCTAATTTATTGACCTAATTATTATGATATTTGGATTAAATGTGGGTTATATTAAACATTAAAATTTGATGTTAATTCAATGATTTCAATAAAATCACATTATTAGATTAGTAAATTATGTTAAAGTTTTAAGTCCAAATAACATTAATCTACTAAAATAGGATGAGGAGAGATACATGTTAATTATGGATAGAAAACAGTACTCCCTCCGTTCCTAAATATCATTTAAGATTTTTGCACAAGGATTAAGGAAATTATTAAATAGCTTTAATATGAGTAAAAAATAATTGCACAAGACTAAACTATCTTTATTCAATACGTATTGAGAAGGAAAGGAATATGAAAGACACTTAGCATACATTTAATCTATTAAATACTTATTGGAAAACATAAATAAGGATAAATTTGGAAGAAAAAATATTAATTATGCTTTAGTTTCATTAAACGACAGATATTGTGGAACAAAAAAAATTATGTAAAACGATAGATATTTAGGAACGGAGAATGTAACTTTTTTGTAAATAATTTCGGGGGTTATAGAGTGGCCACAAAGATTAGAACATAATAGATAGAAAAAATTTAGATAATAGAAAAAATGATATTAAATTAATGAAAATATTTAATTCTCTTTAAAACTGAAAGATTTTTTTCAAATCATACGATAAAATATAGAATAATGTTATTGAAACTTAAAAATTTGATCTAATTTATTAGTTTAATGATGTGATTTCATTCTAACTGTTAAATTAGGGATTTCAATATTTGATGAAATTTACAATTAATTTAATGATTATAATGAATTAAATTAACAAATGAAATCCTAATAATATTACTCAAATATAACGTTTACGGCATCTTATATACATTTGAATGGAAAAGGGTAAGTTAAAAAATAAGAAAGAAATAAAAAAGCCGAAAAAAAGAGGAAAAAGCCCAGTGCTTACGCGAAGAATCGAACTTTCCCGAATGAAAGAGAAAACGGGAGAGAGAGAGATAGAAATCCACTGTATATTGGTGGATGGTGACAAGATTTGCATGGTTCTAGAGTCTTCGTTGTATCAAACATTCACGATGCCTCGTTACACTTCCACACTCTGCCTACATATATCTAACATCTATCCCCACCCATTCTCGCCTCTTCTAACCTTCTTAGGTGAAAGTTCACACTACACAGACCGCTTCCAATCTTGTTCATTCCTTTGGGTGGGTTTTCTCTTTCTGATCGCAAATGGCTACTAAAACTTTGCCATGTTCTACCTCACCTCTGGTGTCAAACAAGTTTTTAAACCCTTCGGATAAGGCATTTAGGCCGTGCTCTGTGTTCTTTCCGTCTGCATGTAATGCAAGAAAGCCCTCTAGGTTGTCTGTCGTGAGAGCTAGGGCGGCCGGAGATGACAAAGATACATCGGTGGATGTTCAGATCAGTAATAAAGGCGACAAACAAGGGACTGCCGTTGAACGCCGGCCTCAAAGGGCGGTGACCGATATCTCTCCTCTCGGTAAGTCTACTTGCTCCGATTTCCTCCCATTTTTAGCATAATTTAGTGATATTATAGGTCCCCATCTTCTGAGCAATTGCTTTGTAAGAGTTGAAAACCCAGTTGGACTTTAATTGTTTACCCATTAAGAATGTAATGACAGCAGAAGGATTGGTTCTGTTCAAGCTTAAATGGTGTCAACTTCAATATAATTTAACGATGTATGGTTAAATTTGTCTGAGTCTTTCATGATATTGTAAGAAATCACAAGTAACCACTAATTGCATTAACAGAATTTTCTGTTATTTACAAGCATCTAACTCTGTAACAGGACTATTGGATCCCTTTTCTCCAATGAGAAC